GGAAACAAAATGAACACAAATTACAGATATTAGAGATTGAAATAATACCTGCTTTACACTAATCTTCATATAATTTTGCTGGTAGAATGTAAAACAAATGATTCAACATAAATGTCATAAACTACAAAAAAAATCAAAATATCTTACTATATCATACAGGAACAAGGATCTTAACCACACCTCTTTCCATATAAGATATTGATTAGCCGGCAGATATTTAACTCGGCTAAGCAATCCAACCAACTTATTCACCGCAATATTTGTATGTTGATGAGATATGCTTTTGAATGCTTAACATCCACAACCACATCAGGCAGTTGATCCCAACTTATACCATAGTTAAGGCAATCTAATTGGGTACTAAATTTTTCAATACATCGATCAAATACACAACAAAGTTCTCTTTTAGATAATTAACACCACAAATTTCATGCTAACTTTCCCAGAAGAGAGAACAAGGGTTATTATCCGTGCATCTAAAACATATATCCTAGTCAACGAATTTAAACAAGAACGTATGTTCAAGAACTGCTAAAAAACAAGTTAGGATAACTTATCAAGAGTGCTTTTAGGACTTACTACTTTTCTTATAAGTACTTTAAACAAAAAAAGCCGTGCATCTAAAACATATATCCTAGTCAACGAATTTAAAAAAGAACGTATGTTCAAGAACTGCTAACAAACAAGTTAGGATAACTTATCAAGAGTGCTTTTAGGACTTACTACTTTTCTTACAAGTACTTTAAACAAAAAAAGTAGCGTTTATTATCCTTATTAAAATTATTTTTAGATAAGTCAAAAGTAATTTCACCTCTCAAATAAGTCAATAATTAGGAGTGAAAAAAAAAAAAGAAATTTTTTATTTCTCTAAACTCACTTATATGTTAAAAACTTCTTATATTTATTGTTTATCAAAATACACAAACTACTACACCAAAATACACACACTAATATATAGAAACACAAACACAGATACTAACACATCAAAAAGCACACCCATATACACCACACACATCATGTTAACACACTAATCCACCAAAAAACACGCACATACACTCACACTAATAGGCCAAAAATCACATACATATCCCCATACACCAAAACACGCACTAATTTATCAAAAAAAAAAAACCAACAAAATACACACCATAATACACAAAACACTGGCACGCACACTCTAAGAAACCAAAAACACACATATATGCATTAAGAAACCAAAAATCACACGCACTAATACACCATACTAATATACCCACTTGTATACCAAAAAATACACACACAGTATTAACAAACACTAATCCACCAAAATAACCAATAATACATGAAAACACACACTAATAGACAAGGAAATATACACAAACCCCAAAACATAAATAATAATACGCCAAAAAAACACACACTAATAGTTTAGACAATCTAACTGGGTACTAAATTTTTCAATACACTGATCAAATACACAATAAAGTTTTCTTTCAGATAATTGACGCCACAACAATTTCATACTAACTTACCGGAAAAGAGAACAAGAGTTATTATCCGTGCATCTAAGACATATATCATAGTCAACGAACTTAAACAAGAACGTGTGTTCAAGAACTACTAACAAACAAGTTGGGATGACTTATGAAAAGTACTTTTAGGACTTACGACTTTTCTCACAAGTACTTTAAACAAAAAAAGTAGCATCTATTATCCTTATTAAAATTACTTTTAGATAAGTCAATAGTAATGTCACCTCTTAAATAAGTCAAAAAGTAGAAGTGAATTGCTTCTCTAAAATCACTTTTATATTAAAAACTTCTTCTATTTATTATATATCAAAATACACAAACTACTACAACAAAATACACACACTAATATGTAAAAACACAATCACAAATACTAATACATCACAAATAACATGCACACACTAAGATGTAAACACACACACACAACATTCATTCATCCACAATAATACACACAAATATATCAAAAATCACACGTACACACTAAAATGCACACACAACCCTACTAATACATCAAAAATAACACACACAAACAAACACACTAATGTGTAAAAACACACATTCACATACACTAATACACATATATACTAATTCACCACACACACATCATGTTAACACACTAACCCACCAAAAAACACGCATGTGCTAATACATAAAAACACGCGCACATACACAAACACTAATAGACCAAAAATCACATACATATCCCTATACACCAAAACACACATACTAATATATCAAAAAAATACACACAATAATACACAAAACACTGGCACGCACACTCTAGGAAACCAAAAACCACACACGCGTTAATACACCATACAAGTATACCCACTACTATACCAAAAAATACACACACAGTGTATGTTACACCATACAAGTATACCCACTAGTATACAAAAAAAATACACACAGTGTTAACAAACACACGCTAATACACTAAAATAACCACTAATAAATGAAAACACACACGTGCACATACACACACTAATACACAAGGAAATATGCGTATACCCCAATACACTAAAATACAAATACTAATACACCAAAAAAACACGCACTAATAAACCAAACACACCCCATTCTTATAACCAAAATACCTTTAGAGGGACACTAGTGCGACAAAAACACACGTACTAATACACAACAAAAATACACACATGCACACTAATACACAATAAACACACACTAATATATCAAAATACACATACTAATAAACAAAAACACACACATACACCAAAATATACAAAGTAATACAATAAATTACACATCCTAATGCACCAAAAAATACACAAATAGACCAAAAGAGTACACATAATCACTTATACTAAAAAAAACACACTAATACCCCAATCAAACAAACAAGCACACCTATACACCACGAGACACACATACACACTAATGCGTCAAGCTCACACACAAAAGAGTAGAACTCTAATCATTCACATTGGCTACAATCATATAGTAATAATATTAATAGTCACAGTGCCCAAATAATATTATCAGTAGATTGTTTTTTTAGGTAATGTTGATGTGAGAAGGTAGTTTGATTTTTAATACGTGTGAATAGATGTTTACTATTAAGGGATATTGATTCTATGAAAGTTTTTTTTGTTGAAAAGTAATCGGTTTGATTTTCATTTTCCCCTTTTCTCTGGTTCAGTCGTGCTATGTGGATAAAATTGATATTAATTATACTATTTGATTTGATTATCATGTATTTAATTAGATTATTTTATTTTATCCATGCACTTAACTGACATAAATCGTAACTTGATTTAATATATGAACCTGATGAATATATACGATACTTACTATCAATGGTAGTATTTTGTTTGTAAATCCAATTTCTGAGACATGTAACATGATGGTGAGTCTTGGTGTGGTGTGATGGATGTTTCCTCTTGCTAATGCTCATTTTTTTATGATTGTCAATTTGTTTGGGTTGGTTTAAATGGTTTTACTTTTTCACATTGCCATAACTTTGTTGCACTACACCGATTTTTTATCTTTGTTGACCTCTACAAATGATTTTTATCAACATGATTTTCTTAAGGTCTATTCCTTGATCTATATTATGTATAGACATTGAATTGAAAATAGAACGAACAACTAAGGGAAGTACTCACATTAATATTAGTATTATTCTGGTTATGTACGTACATCTATCAGAGCATGTATTGATTTTTTTGGTTAGTTTTTCATAATTTTATAATAGTCTTTAGTTTCAATAATGTATTTGCGAAATTTATTTTTGAATTCAGTAGATTGCTTTTTTTGGTAATGTTAATGTGAGAAGGTAGCTTGAATTTTAATACATGTGAATAAATGTTTACTATTAAGGGATATTGATTATGTGAAAGTTTTTGTTGCTGAAAAGTAGTCAGTTTGATTTCAATTTTTTCCTTTTCTCTTGTATCATGAAAGTTATTTTTTAATATTACATCACCCGACAAATTTTATGCTTGCTTGTGAGTTCATTATGCAATTTTTTTGTTCAATTTTGATATTGATGTATTTCTCTTTCCCTTTCTCCCCTATGTATGCACACACATTGACAACACGTATAGAATAATTTAGGGATGTCCCCTTTATTATAAAACCTGTCAAAACACAAGTGATATAATTAGTAATCCTTAATAGTTACGCTTCATTATAGCATTCTTATAGGTATAATAATATAATTCGAACTTATTACAATGTACATGTTTGTTACAACACATTAAGTTAATATAAACATAAGTTGGTAATCCGACATACTCGGTATTTATACCACTCGTGTAAATTTGAAAAAAAGAAACAACATAGGGTGAACATCAACAACTCTGTAAGAAATCTCAATTCTAAGACTCACAGGTTCGAAAATAAATACTTTGATATGATTGATATTATAAAGTACATTCATAACTAATAATGTGAAAACGTTAAACAAAAAATAGTTTATGTATAAAAACGATAAAGTCATACCATTACAGTGTCAAACCACAGAAAAAATATCCTAATAGATTACTCAGGGTCGATACGACCCGTACAATCCAACCTTTTAAGAGTCTTACACCCTAAAAAAGAGATGCTCCCAATTCACAATTCGCCTCAAGTCCGAAGACCAACTGGGTCGCACTTGCATTTATGAACTCAACGGTTTCAACTTGAAACGTAAACCCTCTGCCACTTGATCCTGTGTGCACTTATATGTAATAGAAAATGATCCTGGGTTCTCTCAATCATTGAACAATTCAAACGATTGTCCAATGCACATTTTAAAACCCTAACTGGTCCAGAGTTCTAATTCAATACAAACTACCTGATCATGAGTTCACAAACATGTTAAACAACATTTATAACATAAATGATATATTTGTAAACAGAACGAAAAATCTTGCCAATTTCAGAATTGAAAAACGATATCTCGATTTGTGTGTCGTTCAAAAATTGTAAAAAATAGAACAATGAAAGTTGTCAATGAAATTTCACACATAACTCTATTTTAACTAATTAAACATGAGTATACAATTAGTTTGGTCAAACAACCCCAAAATTGGGTCAAACTGGGACCTAAAGGGTAAAATGGTTATCTTACTGAGATATTAACCGGAACATCGGATCACCATATGGAGATTCAGTCCAAAAAGGGTATGGATTTGAAAGTAGGATATACAGGGAGGAGATTAGCATTGGCAAGGAGTAGATTTGTTGTACTATGGAGGGAGAACAAGAGGAGAGAAGTTGGATACTTAGCTGAAAAGGAAAAAGAACTAAGAAGAAGAATTCGGAAGAAGAAGAATTCGGAAGAAGAAGAATTAAGAAGAAGAAAGGGGGAGGAGGCAGCCTACCACGCGCGAGGGCAGCGGTGGTTGATCCACATCTGGTTGGTGGGGCTGGTCTCCTGTCTCCCCAAGGAATCCCCCTGTGGTCTCCAATTCCTGATCTGACGCTTCAAGTTAATATCTCACGTAAGATAACTATTTTGCCCTTCAAGTCCCAGTTTGACCCTATTTGGGGTTGTTTGACCAAACTAATTTTATACTCGTGTTTAATTAGTTAAAATAGAGTTGTGTGTGGAATTTCATTGATAGCATTCATAGTTCTATTTTTTACAATTTTTGAACGATACGCAAATCGAGATAAAGTTTTTCAATTCTGAAATTGGCGAGATTTTTCGTTCTCTTTATAAATATATCATTTATGTTATAAATGTTGTTTAACATGTTTGTGAACTTATGATCAGGTGGTTCGTATTGAATTGGAACTCTGGATCAGTTAGGGTTTGGAAATGTGCATTGGATAATCGTTTGAATTGTTCAATGATTGAGAGAACTCAGGATCCTTTTCTATTAAATATAAGTGCACACAATATCAAGTGGCAGAGGGTTTACGTTTCAAGTTGAAACCGTAGAGGGTTTCATTGAGTTCGTAAATGCAAGTGCAACCCAGTTGGTCTTCGGACTTGAGGCGAATTGTGATTTGGGAGCGTCTCTTTTTTAGGGTGTAAGACTCCTAAAAGGTTGGATTGTATGGGTCGTATCGACCCTGAGTAATCTATTAGGATATTTTTTTCTGTGGTTTGACACTGTAATGGTATGACTTTATCGTTTTCGTACATAAACTATTTTTTGTTTAACGTTTTCACATTATTAGCTATGAATGTACTTTATAATATCAATCATATCAAAGTATTTATTTTCGAACCTGTGTGTCTTAGAATTGAGATTTCTTACAGAGTTGTTGATGCTCACCCTATGTTGTTTCTTTTTTTCAAATTTACACGAGTGGTATAAATACCGAGTATGTCGGATTACCAACTTATGTTTATATTAACTTAATGTGTTGTAACAAACATGTACATTGTAATAAGTTCGAATTATATTATTATACCTATAAGAATGCTATAATGGAGCGTAACTATTAAGGATTGCTAATTATATCACTTATGTTTTGACAGGTTTTATAATAAAGGGGATATCCCTAAATTATTCTATACGTGTTGTCAATGTGTGTGCATACATAGGGGAGAAAGGGAAAGAGAAATACATCAATATCAAAATTGAACAAAAAAACTGCATAATGAGCTCACAAGCAAGCATAAAATTTGTCGGGTGATGTAATATTAAAAAATAACTTTCATGATACAAGAGAAAAGGGAAAAATAGAAATCAAACTGGCTAATTTTCAGCAACAAAAACTTTCACATAATCAATATCCCTTAATAGTAAACATTTATTCACATGTATTAAAATTCAAGCTACCTTCTCACATTAACATTACCAAAAAAGCAATCTACTGAATTCAAAAATAAACTTCGCAAATACATTATTGAAACTAAAGACTATTATAAAATTATGAAAAATTAACCCAAAAAATCAATACATGCTCTGATAGATGTACGTACATAACCAGAATAATACTAATATTAATATGAGTACTTCCCTTAGTTGTTCGTTCTCTTTTCAATTCAATGTCTATACATAGTACAAATCAAGGAATAAACCTTAAGAAAATCATGTTGATAAAAATCATTTGTAGAGGTCAACAATGATAAAAAATCGGTGTAGTGCAACAAAGCTATGGCCATGTGAAAAAGTCAAACCATTTAAACCAACCCAAACAAATTAACAATCATAAAAAAATGAGCATTAGTAAGAGGAAACATCCATCACACCACACCAAGACTCACCATCATGTTACATGTCTCATAAATTGGATTTACAAACAAAATATTAGCATTGATAGTAAGTATCGTATATATTCATCAGGTTCATATATTAAATCAAGTTACGATTTATGTCATTTAAGTGCATGGATAAAATAAAATAATCTAATTGAATATATGATAATCAAATCAAATAGTATAATTAATATCATATTTATCCATATAGCACGACTGAATTAAGCATAAACGAAGTAGCCATACCCGTCTAGTATTTTTTTGGAAACCATTGGTTCATATTCCTTGTTCTTTCTCGATTCTTCATTTGCTTCCACGCTTACTAGCCCAAGTTCAACGATGGTGCATAAAAGCTCTGCTTCAATTCCTCAATGCTCTGTTAATATAGAAAATAGTTAATGTTCAGCTAGAGAGGCTTAGAGATAGACAGAGAGAGAGGGAGAGAGTTGTGGGAAAGAGAACAGTAAAATTCTTTAGAAACACAAAATTCTAGAACAAAGTGATCCAACAACACAAATTTATCTATAAGTATCTGATATGAACTCCAGCGCAAGTACAGATACATGCCAAAACACACACAATTGAGGAAAAACATTTGTCACAATACATGTGTATAGAAATATCATATGCATTTACTTACATAAGTTGTTAGTTTTTCTTTTAAGATATGAACCAAACTGCTAATTAGAAATGCTACATAGTGTCAATGGAACAAAACAGTTATTTGTAATCCAAAGTTAGGAGGAACAGTAAAATCGCAACATGTGCTCAAATAGATTTACAAGATGTTTTGGTCATACCAGGCTGCTATTAAATTAAAAATAAAAAAGAAAAATGGGATTGTCGAACCACGAATGCAAAGACAAAGAAGATAACAGAAAAAAGAATTATCGAAATAACTAATCTCATCATGTTTCAACGGCCAGAATTGTTCTTTTTTTATCAAAAGGCTTCACAAATCGCAGTCACATATACTTCGTGAATTTATAGTAATACCCTGTTAATAAATAAGTAAGATAGAGAAGGAAAAGAAAGATAATTAACAAAATCACTAACCATATCATGTTTCAACGCCGGAATAGTTTTTTTTTTTTTTGGGCCGAAACACCGGAATAGTTCACGAAACGCATTAGTTATATATCTTGTGATTCATACAGAGCCTATCAAAAAAACCACCAGAACCTAAATTTAATTTTACAATACAAATTGCAATCAAAAAACAGCATGAAATTCAATTAAATCAAATTAAAAAAAAAAAAAGCGAAACTAATGTGATAACTCTATTCAACCAAGAACGCATTACCAATTCCACACAGGGAAATCAAAGACTGGATCAATTCCATCAAGCAAAGAATAAAAGTTTTGTGCAATTAGAAGGATAAAAATGGTCGGGTTAATCAAAGAAGCCGCTGAGCCACATAGAGAGGAAAGGAGCAGAGAGAGGGGGAGAGGGAGACATACCTGGGCAGCGTCGATGGCGGTGCGTGAAAGGGCATCGTAGCAGTTTCGTTATGGTGAGGCAGTGATGAGACAGAGATGCGTAGAGTGATGAGAGAGAAGAGAAGAGAGGGGTGGCGAGAGAAACAGGGGAGAGCGGAAAGATATCGTAGATGTTGGTGGCTGTTGGTGACCTGTGAGTGGCGGCCGATACGGTGAAGAGAGGGGAATAGCGTCTGTGTTGTTGAAAAAGGTGAAGAAAGAAGACAGAAGTGAGGGAGAGTAGAAGAGAAGAGGGGCGGGCGAAGAAAGAAGGGTGTTGTGCACAGAGAGAGACAATTGAATTGGGTGAGAGGGAGAATATATAGGTGTGAGGTCTAATTGAATTAGGAAAGCAGAGAAGAGAGAGAGAGAAGTATTTGAATTAGGAAAGCAATGAAGAGAGAAGTATTCGAATTTGGAAAGCAGATTGGAGAAGATCCGTTAGGCAGAGGGGAAGATTTAGTCATTATTTGGCGTGATTGAGGTCAAGGAAAAGAGTAAATTATATTTTGTATCCTTAAAAATTTAATATTTCTTATTTTACACCTTTAAAAATTCAATTTTTCATATTTTTCCTTCAATATATTAAAAGTTATTGCAATATAGTTCTGTTGTTAATTTTCACTACTCATTCTATCAACTCAATAAAATGATTTTGACAGAATAAATAACTAAAGATAATAGAAGTACCATATTAAAATATTTTTAATACATTGAAGGTACAATGTAAAAAATCTCATTTTTGAGAGTATAAAATAAAAAAACTTAAATCTTTCATATTCTCCCAAGTAAAAAAAAAAAGTTTCTAGACAGGAAAAATATTTTCAAATCAATGTAGGATCTATTTTTCTTCCATGAAGTGTGGGCTGGTTGGCAAAGGTTGCAATCCATGGGCCGTTTTTAAGGCCTGGGGTCCATCGAGATGTGTGAGAGAATGTCGTCATTAAATAGTAACGAAAATTTGTATCCATGTCCACCCCTAGGCCAAATGGTATCATCTAACCTTTTTTTAGGGAAGAGTTAGACATTCAGTCGGGTCGGGTATAAAATTATGGGGCAAACCATGGCTCGGTTGAAGATTCAATATTTTTTTTATATATATTTCTTTGTCGTTGAATTTATGAACTTGATTTTCTCTTGTCCCTTGAGTTTTCACATTATCTCCTAAATTATTTTACATTACACCAAATACAAATGATTGCCTTCTTTTTGATAGGAATTGTTAAGTTTTGGGATAAAATAAAAAAAATCACATTTTTCTGAAAAAAAAAAAGTAAAACAATTTTTCTTAAATTTATAATGAATGTTAATCATTGAGACGGTGTTAAACTAATCACATGATTAAGTGTATGATGTAAAATAAATGATATTTATGGGACAATATTTAAAAAGAGTCATAGTAAAGGGGACAAATATATAATTTACTCATGTTATAGTCACACATCGTTTATAATTTATACCAATTCATCACGGTAAAATTGTCATCTAAATTTTAACATTAAACTAGAGAGGGCACACTATAATATTTTAAATTCGAAGGGTAACCTCCTCATATCGATGCAAATAAGGAGGTCGTTATTGTAATTATCTCCTCCTTCTCAGGGTCAGTGTTGGCCCCATATAATCCACTCAGCAATCGCATTCTAAGGTTTTGTGAGCCAAAGAACAAGAAGAGGATACAGGCTCTGTAGCTGTACCTCGACGCCTTTCCTCCTCCTCATCAGCTCTCCCCTTCTCTCTCTCTCTTTCTCTATGGATTGCACTTACATCTCTCTTTACAGATCATACGATGCAATCCGATGAAGATGCCACGTCCATGGAACTTGAGAAAGTTATATCTGAATCAAATCATGTATCTTTTGCTTCAAAATCAAACTTTGCACCCTTGAAGGCTCACGAGATATCCGATGGTCAAGTTCATTTCAGGAAAGTCTCTATACCACCGCATCGATATACGCCTCTCAAGAAAGCGTGGATGGAAATTTACACTCTTATATATGAGCAGATGAAAATTGACATTCGTATGAATCTCAAGGCTCACAAGGTTGAATTGAAGACCGATCAGACACACCCGACATCAGTAACCTCTAAAAATGTGTTGTTTTGTGCACACTTTCATACTAGGATTCGACGTGATTGATGTCGTTCCAGTTCTCCGCATGGACGAACTCTATGTGGAGTCTTTTGAGAACAAAGATGTGAAAACCCTTCGAGGCGAGCACTTGTCTCGTGCCATTGGAAGATTATTTGGTAAAGGGGGTAAAACTAAGTTTGCAATTGAGAATTCTACGAAGACTCGAATTGTGGTTGCAGACACCAAAATTCATATATTGGGTTCTTTTGCCAACGTCAAAATTGCAAGTGATTCTCTCTGTAGCCTTATCATGGGGTCACCTGCTGGCAAGTTTATTTGAAACTTATAGCTGTTTCTGCCAGATTGGCAGAGAGATTTTGACAATGTTGAGCATTATACTATTTGATTGTACCTTGAGCTGAATTTTCTGCTGAAAAATACTGTTTTAAGAGGTAAAATTGCAAAGGCTATGCTTGTTCTCATGTGTTTGTCCAGTGAATGGTCTAATTTGCAGTTTGAAACTTACCTATATGGCAAGACTAATGTCATGCCTATAAAAATATTTATCAAAAGATATTTTTACTAAATAAGTTCACACCTTCATTTCACTTTTGAACCCCACCAACTCATTTGGTAAAAGTACTTTTTGGTATGAATAGCATTTTTCATATGCAATTATAGGTGCCTGCTGGATTTTTGCCTGTAACTCCTTGCTAATTACTCTTTCACAAGGGTGGGATCTCCAAAAGCTAGACATTAGTTTCATAATTTGTTATGCCATTTCATTGGAATGCTTTTGAGACTATTTGTTATCAACTTAGGCGTCTATTACTTGGGAGCGAGGTAGTGATTGTCCTTAGATTGGTTTCTTATTAAAAAAAAAAGCAAAATTTACTGCTAGTCCTAGAATTTGCACAGTATGGGGGTAAACCAATAGTCCACATTTTTCTTATGAAAGAGATTCTCAAATTGAGACATGGATTAAAAAGGAAAAAAAAACAAGTATCCATTAAAAAGGGGAAAAAAAAGAAGGGAAAATAGAAGAAAAGAAGGTCCTAGACTTTGATGAGTCAAGTAGAGTGAACATGTTCAAATGGCATTATCGAATCCATCAAACTAGAACCTCGTATACAAGTTTACCATAGGCGTTCCAATGTCTATAACATAAATCATCAATCTTGGTCAGGTAAAGCCTCAACTGTAGAATTTATGTCATTCCCAATATGCTAAATAATTTCAAAAAGTAGGCACTCTCGTCTAGGGCCATATAAACCTACTCTCTAAACTCAAAAAGCAAAGAGCTTTTGTTGTTGTACTAAATTGACAAACCGAAAAGATGATATATTTTCCAAACTCACACACCTAGATGAAGCAATTAATTCAAAACAAGCACTAAAAAGATGATAAGTTTCCATCAAATTCAATCTAGATTTTATCTCAATCTTTTCACAGGTGATCATGCTTAGTTTCAAATTAAAAAACCCAGATTTGAGTGTTGGACTTTGATTAAATATCAGGCTAAGGTCTCAGCTTTATATTCTTTTTTGTTTCATACGTTTTTTATATGGATTTAACATAACTATGTTAACTAATGGATATTCTCTACATCGAAAACTGAGTTAAATACTCTTATGAATCTAATGTTTTGCAAAAGTTTGGCATGAATTTCAATTTGCATTTGGTTGGTATTTGATTTTTGCGACTAATATAATATCCTCTTCTTTTTTATTCAATTTTGTAAATCTATCCATCTTCTAGATCCAATATTAGATTTCATTTTTTTTAGTCTTGATTCTATGAAATGTATCACTATTTTCTAATTTTAAATATTATGATGTACTAAATATTCTAAAACATATTGGATTGAATAGTTGGAGGTAGTTTTAGGTGGTTTGATTGATTGACCATATTTTATGTTATATACCGTGTTCAAGCTTGCTTGTAATTTTTTTGTTTGTTAAATAGTATCTTTAGACACAAACAATTGCTAGTTTATATAATAAAATATAACAAATTTTGAATTCAAAGACAAAAAACCGACTAAGCTCGTTTTATGATAAAAAAATAAATAAATCATCCGACGGACGATACTATCTCGATTTGTCTCAAACTATTAGGACCTGTTTGGTATGTGGGACAAGGAGGGATTTGGAAGATGGGTTGAGGAATAAAAGTCCACAAAACCCAACAAACCCATGTTTGACATCTACATTTGTAACCCAATTTACTAAACTCAGCCCGCAATTTAAACCCAAGTTCATGGGTTTCATATGGGGCTTAATGGGTTTAATATACAAAATAACATTTATACCCCCATAAAACTCATGTACCTAAACAAACACTAGTTTGGATTAAATTAGTTAAGGAGCACAATAGTCATTTATATATAAATATATTATCATAATAGTCATATATCCATGCGCATACTAATCATGGATATGGACTACATTGAATGTTGAATCTCATCTCTGGGATTCGAAGGGTTTGGACAAACCAATCCAAACCCAAAAAACCAACCAAACTACCATTTAATATCTCAGATTATCTCAAAATTTATTGTTTATACGCACCAAAATGAATTCTCAAAATTTTATATCGCCCAAAAAACTTTGGGGTTGTTTGTTTGCTATTTTATATTTTTGTTTTGAGTTTTTGTAAAAAAAAAAAAAATGTGTTTGGTAATTATTTTTGTTTTTGTTTCATCTACGTTGTCTTAGAAACAAGCTAAAAAAGTGGGAATAAAAAACTGATGTTTTGGGAAACAACCCAAAACTGAAACACGCGAATTTTACCTCAAAATTTTTTAGGAAGAATTATACTCAGATCGCTAAGATTTGTCATTTAATCATTCAAACCCCCTAAAATTTAAAATATTACACACAAATCCCCTAAGGTTTGTATACACGTAACATTTAGACCCCTGTCGTCAAAATGTGTGTTAGTATATCTATTAATAAATTAAATTTCGACCCCTTAAAGTTTATAAATATATAATATTTACACCCCTTAAGTTTAAAATGTTATAATTAGACAAAAAATATCCCAATCAAATATAGAATATAAAATATTTTAAATTTTATAACCAAAATTTATTATCTATTGTATCATTTATTGAAATAAAATTAAAAATAAAGTCAAATTTTTTTCAAAAAATAATAATTAGTATACAATTATACTATCTATTGAAACAAAACTAAAATAATCAAGCATGAGATTTAAGTCATTCATAACATAACATGAATTTTACAAACCAAAATTCATATTTTATTATGTTATTTATTGAAATAAAATCAAAAATAAAAATCTATTTTTTTCTTAAAAAATTCATAATTAATATATAATTATACTATCTATTGAAATAAAACTAAAAAATTAAATAAGGGGTTAAACTATAGTGAACACAATATATTTTAATTTTACTTGAGATAATTTGGTCGTTTAAATGACCAAATGGTCTAAGTAACTGCAGCTATATTAGCTCGATGCGCCTTTATGTATCAGTTATTAGTAGGCTCTGCCCCAAGAATCGTAGACGGGGAACCTGGAGGAGAAGGCAACATGTAACGGATGAAGCATTCAGAGAGGTTTTAGTTCACATTCATTCAACTAAACAAACGCGAGCTATTGAGTAAGATAAGACTGTCAAACTATAATGAACATAATATATATTAGTTTTAATTGGAGTAATTTGGTCATTTAAATGACTAAATTAAATTCCAATAGATAGTATGATTATATATTAATTATGATTTTTTTTAAAAAAATAGATTTTTATTTTTTATTTTATTTCAATAAATTTAATAATAGAATATGAATTTTAGTTGTAAAATTTAAAATATTTGATATTCTATTTTTAATTGAAGTATTTTTGATCTAAGTATAATATTTCAAACTTGAGTGGTCTAAATATTACACGCTATAAACTTTAAGGGTTATTGATGTAATTTATTAATGGATTTATTAACACATTGACGATATGAGTCTAAGTGTAAGTCGCATACAAAATCTCAGGGGGTTGTGTATAATATTTTAAATATCAGAAGATCTAAGTGATTAAATGACAAATCTCAAAAGGTCTGAGTATAATTCTCCCAAATTTTTTAATGAGGTCTCGAACCTTGTTAACAACAACATTGGGTTATTTTTTTAGGGCTAATCTTAACTTGTATATTGAAAGATCACTTGAATCTCAAAATTTAAAAATATCAATTTACACCTTAAAGACATAAATTCGTATCAATGTGCACCTCAAATTAACTGTTATCCATTTTGTCGTTAAAAAAATTTGGATTAATTATAAATTGCAGTCTTAAAGCTCAAAATTTTCATATTTATGATCCAAAAATAGTATTTCTTTCATTAATGCTCGTTAATTAGCTCTCAATTGTATCATATCATAACATTTTTGTGTCATGTTCGAATCAATAAAAAATTATTTTAAAAATTTTAAAAAATTATAAAATACATATTTTTTGTTTATTATACTTGTTAAATAGTTTTTGTCTATAATTAGACACAAATTTTTCTGTTCGATCAGATTATAGTTAGATATGAATAACACGACTGTAGAAAAAAAATAGCTATTTAATGAGCATTATAGGTAAAAAAATAAGTATTTTTTGTAATTTTAAAAAAATATTAAATATTATTATATAAATTATCGTAAATGTGAAATATACGACATAATGCAATTGATTCGACACGAAAATATTTTGTGTTAAAAATATTTTTTTATCGACTTGAACACAACACGAAAATGATATTACATGATACAAAATAACATGATACGACACAATTGAGAGGTATTTAACAAGTATTAATGGATAAATTTTTTTTAATCATAAATGTGAAATATTTAAACTTTAAAGGTGTAGTTTGTAATTATTTCAAACCTTTTTAACAGCAAAATGGATGGTAGCTAATTCCTGGTGCACATTAACACAAATTTATGTCTTTTAGGGTATAAATTGATATTTTTAAACTTTGAGGGTATAAATTAAAACTCGAATAATCTTTTAGGGTGTAAGTTGAAATTAGTCCTATTTGTTATGTAGGTATAAATTGTGGGTTTTTGTTGTCTCGCACTGGTCTCACACACACGCACACACATCTCTCATCTCTCTGTTCTGGACGACGAAGATGGTCGAAGAACAAACAAACTCGAAGAAGGCAATGAAGCTTTGTTCCTTGATGCTTTGAACCCAGAACCCGAAGAAGTCATCTATGCAGAAATTCCACCAATCTTTTTGTCTCTCGTTGTGCACAATAGGGTAAACATTTTTAGATCTATGTATATATATATATTACATATATATACATATATCTGTATATATGTGCTTTATATAGGCATTGAATAGGTCTCCATCTTTTTTTTTTTTTTCTTTTCCCCTAAACAATTATATGTCATTTTATGTGTTCTGTATCGGTGTGTGTGAGTTTGTGTGTGCTGATTTGTTGAGCGTGTGTTGTGTGTTGAATGTGTGATATGTTTAATGACTTATTTAATCTAATTATTTTATTTTATGTGTTATTTGATGAATTAATGAATCTTTTGATATAATAAATTTTAATTTGTATTTTATTGTACGTGATATTATAAATATTGATTTGTATTTGTATAACTTTGACCGGTTACTTAAATATGTTTTTTTATTTTGTTTTCCTAAAAAGATAAAAATAAATAACTTTCAAACATATTTTTATTTTTATTATTTATCATCAAATAAAATAAAAATTATTTCTATTTTTTTTTTAAAAAATACTAAAATAAAATCGTTACCAAACGACCAGTCTAATTTCTAGGTTTTTTTTTTTGGGTATGGATTTTTTTTTGTTTTGTTTTTAAGTAAAAACTTTCCATTTTACACACTCTTATCTCTCTTCCCCTATCTCCCGAAATTGACACCCAAATCCCTCTCTCCATTAACGATTTCAAATCCCATGGCCTAAACTTCTCTCCATTATTCACGCCTATTCACTTCTTCTCTGGCGCCTTCTCTCCCTCTCTTCTGTCATCAACTAACTATACCAGATCCACTACCAATAATTGTGATGGCGAACGCACCGCTACTAGCGCACTACTGTCTGTTATGTCTTTCTTTGCTTTCCCCACACTAACACTCACCGTTTGAGTCCCTCTCTCTCTCACGAGCGACCAAATCAACGGTGTAGAGACCACATCGAGCGATAGCGACTAGATTCATGGCAACAGAGACCACATCCTCCGACGACAGAGACTAGATCTCCGATCACATGCTCCGACAATACTGAACAAAGCAAAGCTTTGATATACTTGTGTGTAGTTGTTGGGTTAATTTAATTGATCTTTTTTCTGTAGCCTTTATTTCCTTTCCTTCGGCATTTATAAGAAATAATTGTTACTCGTGTCATACTTTTTGAGCATAGCTATAATTATGACTTTTTTTATGGAGATACGTAGACATGTTGAACCGTTTCTAATTAACATGCCTTTAAATGGTGTCTCATAATGTCAATTTTTTTTTTTTCGAATTCTTAGAATCTCACCTGTTTAATCACTCTATTAAATTTGAACTCTCACAGAAATTTTTATTTTATGTGGAGTCAAATTCGTGTGTATCCATTTTAATGGATAAAATTGACATCTTACAGAAATGGACTTCCAACTAGTTCGGAGAATTGGGACAAAGAGCGGTTTATTTGTATTAAAGCTTTCGTGGGGACAATTTCGTCATTTCGTTCCTAATAGCCCCGATGGCCGCCTAGCTCATCTATATATACATATACGAGCACAGGTCTCTGTGTACGAATAGATTTTCTTAGTTGGCGCCCAGAAAGCCAGTGAGTGAGAAGACGACGAGACGGACACCTCTCCTTCTTCACTCCCGATCTCTCCTCCTTCTTCCCCAAATCCGGCCATTACTAGTTACTGTCCTGTAATTTAAAAACCCTAGATAGATCCCAGTGTCCCAATCTGGTGTTGCCTGATTGATTCATTCTGTATTGCCCTAGACCCACTCTTAAATTCAGATTACCATATAAATTAGATTCTCAAATTGATTGATTTAAATCCTGTGTACCAGTACAGGAAAAGTTTATTTTTTGTCAATTCCTACGACACTGATCGCCGGAAATGACTGACGGGCAGGTGATAAAGCGTGCAAGGTATAAATCGTCAGTGAAGGACTTTGGAGTTCCTGGTGTTCTGAAAATGGTAATGTTTTTTGATAATTGAGCAAAGTTTCTACATGTGTAAATGCTTCATTGTTTGCTAATTTATTGTTGTTACTGCGTGCAGACTCGGGAGAGGTTTTTTTTTATGCCAAATGATCCGAAATCATCTGCAAGGCTTAATGTAGAGTTTAGATTGGTTAAAGGTACTTTGTTTGTTAATGCACTTGATCCTTTAGGTGAGTTTTCAATTGTTAGTTGCAAGATGATGCAATGTTACAGTCTATGAGTTTTTTTTGCTAGAAGTGCTGGATGGTTAGGATGAGATGTAAGTAGTGCCAAAAGAGTTGTCTTTGATTGCTATTTTGCAGTTTATAGATGAAAATGGGAAAATTGTTGCGAAAATACCTGTGCGCCTTGTCAAAATTGTTGCGAAAATACCTATGCGCCTTGTCATACTGTTCGTCGGGATTGCTTTGGATGTAGGAAGCTGAGTGTTCCTTTAATTAATCCATCTTATTGTCCATTTTGTTTAGCACACATCTTATTATTTTGTGACAAAGTTGTTAATGTGTTTCTATCTATCTTTGTTGTGAGTTTTCAGGGCACAAATTTACCAAGGAGGGTTCCAACAAACAGGCCCTGCTTAATCTCACAGTGGATCAGGTTTCTCCTCTGCTATATTACCTTATAGATAGTTCTTTTAGGAATTCTTTAAATTTGTTCAGTTGCTGAATCTTATGGCAGTTAGGTTGAACTCCATCTATGAGTGTTCGTTACATGATATTGCACAATATTTTTCATGATATATTGATATTTTTTTGTTTCTAACTAAGCATATTTATTGTTGCTTCACTTATAGTGACTTAAACATAAAAATCTTATTTGTGTCCAGGGAGGAAATTACATTTTTGAATTTGACACTTTTTCTGATCGTGATGCTTGCCGTGAATATGTTGGTAAGTCTCTCTTATTAACTGTAATTAAGTATGTAGTTGGACACCATCTAGAGTGTTTGGAATAATCAACCTCAATATACTGTCTTGATTTGATAAAGTTCTTATAGAATTGGGTAGCCTATATTGGATGAAATTGTTCACATGAAGATTTTGTATCTGTTAACTTGCAAACAGCAACAGCTATTGCAGTATCCGGAGAAGCTGGAAGAGCTGGTTCTGAGAGATCAGCTGCTCCACTTCAAGATGAACAACTTAGCCATGCAGAGATGGAGCGTCGGATTAGACTACTGCAGGAGGATAGGTAAACTCACTTCCGGTTATCTTGACAAAAATTGTTTGTTCCCCTGCAAATTATTGTTCAACTTATGCACTTTGTGACTACAAGAATCTTGTTGTTCATTTTTATCAGTTACTTACTTTTGCATAAACATATTATTCTGAAACTATATGCCAGGTGGATTTCAAGGTAGTATCATTGTGCAAATTACTACAAATTATGTAATGTCTGAATTCCTATGGAACAGTTGGCATACTCTTGTGAAATATGAACAGAACTTTTGATAAAATGTCCAGTTTCATTGTATCATTGGCTGCTGAATTTAGTATTTCGTCTCTTCATATGTAAGTTTCTCTTTTAGTTGATAAGGTATCATTTGCAGTGAGTTGCAGAAACTTCATAAGCAATTAGTGATTGGAGGTGTCCTATCAGAGGCTGAATTTTGGGCAACAAGAAAGGTTAGCTATTGGTTATTTTTTTTCCAATATGTCAGCTTCTATGAGCATGGATTTTAGGATAAGTGAATTGAACTTTGAGCCCATGTGTGTCTACCTGGAGAGATGTGCTCTTTTTATTAGTTAGATATACTCTTGGGAAAGCTGTAACAGAAAAGTTTATTTTACGATAAAGTGCAGAAGTTGCTGGATGAGAATGCCAGCAGAAAGTCAAAACAACAGGTGGGGTTGAGAAATGACATGTTCCATGTCAAACCATCTTCTGATGGTCAGGTATAACATAGATCTCTCTCTCTCTCTCTCTCTCTCGTGAAGTTTGAAACGTATGCTATGAATTCTAAGTTCTGTTTTTTACTTGCAAGATTACTTGAGGTGCATTGTTTACTAAGTAGACTCATTTCTAGTTTTGGTAACTTCTGGCAATTTCTATAATGCTTATTTTCTTTGAATGTTGTTTTTTCAGTCTAACAAAGTTACTTTTAATTTGACACCCGAGATTATTCACCAGGTATGGCTTGTTCTTTCTTTTGATTCATCCAGAACTTTGCCTGTTATATTATTTGACATTGCAATTCTTAATCAATAATGGTGCATAGCCACGTTTTCTTTTGGTCAACATTAGTACCGTGGATGAAAGTCTATTCCGGAATGTGCATGTATTTGTCAATTAATTGGATGCATTATAACGTGGTGATACTCGTTTGACAGAGTAGCATTCTAGTTGCCTCACTTTAGTATGATGTGGTGATACTCTTTTGACAGAGTAGCATAGCACTCTACTTGCCTTAGTAAATTGGATGCAGTATTATTTGGTGATACTCTTTTGGCAGAGTAGCACTCTAGTTGCCTCACTTTCTTATGTTTATACATGCTTGAATCTTTGATTGTCTTGCCACAATTTACACATATGCCAAGGTCTATATGGAATGTGTTTGGTGGTGGTTGTTTGGGGAGTGGGAGCAGGGTGTAAATTATGTATTTATATTGTTTGTTTGCACTGGCAATAACCTTACAATGTACTAGAAGTTGGGGCACTTGTGCTTCTTTGATCAATATTAATTGTAGTGTGGTTTGAATTGGTGTATGGTACACTTAAACGGTATGATACTTTTTTCGATATGTGCTATGGTGGGGATAAACTTAGTTGATATGTTGTTTTGGGTCATATTTCACTTTGTAATTCTTATTGAGATCGCTTCACCACTATATACATTTATATATAAATATACATTCATATACACATGGTTAACTAATATTTATATCAAAAAGGATAAAAATTCTAAGGCGCATAATCTGAGACACGTGCCGGCTACAACTCAACTCAACATATTGACTATTTGTTGTCAATAATAAAAGTTAGGAGTTGCATATTTGTGTTACTAAAACAAATTCAAATCACAACATAACAAGATATAAATTTAACAATCATCAAACTAAAGAAATAACCAGGGATATATTTTGGGGTTAGAATTATAATTGGGGATTTGTTGGATCGTGGTTTAGGGGTTTTAGTTACAATTTGGGACGGTCAATTTGAACAATTTGGCTTGTGAATCCACTCTATTTCTGATCGTACGACCCTGGTATGTGGGACGACGCTAGGGCATCTACGATTTTGATATCTATGTGCTTGATGCCCGAGTAAATATGTAATTAGGGGAGAAAAATAAATTTAAGATTGGCTTAAATATGTGAAAGGCAAATGAAAGCAAATGGAAAATATTACGATATATCTCTTGCTTTTGTTGCCCATTGAAAAGGGGGAAAGTTGCTTTCGTTGATTCATTGTATTCTTTATTTATTGAGAAACCAAAAGAGAGTTCTAACGGGATAAGCGAAAGGGAAGATGTTGGATTGGATTCAAGTGGATGTTCCAATAAAGGATGGAGAGAGAATGAAGGGGAGGAGAGTTGTTGTCCTACCTGACTTGTGTAAATTTACATCTTGCAGAACTTGATTGTGTTATTCTTTTTGCTCCTCACTATTGGTGACATGGATTAGTCATGCATTTTGAGTAGTTTATAAACCGGTGACTAAAGTGTGCCCAGCTTGATACGATAGAAAATTTTGTACTTTGATGCATATCTGTCTATGCATGGTTAGTTATTGGTTAGGATTGTCCATAATATCATTGTGACTCAGTAGTCATCTACTTCTTCTCCCTCTTATTTATTGTTGGATTGACTTTCAGATTTTTGCTGAGAAACCGGCTGTACGCCAGGCATTTCTAAATTTTGTTCCGAGCAAGGTTAGAGAATGTGCAACTTTTTTCTCTTTTTTGTGGCAATATTTTTTTTCCTCAAAGATCACCTCCTTTGTATTTTTCTCATTAACTTTAAGCTAACTTCTACATTGGGGTTATTGTATACATTTTCTGGATTCCAGATGACAGAAAAGGAGTTCTGGACGAAATATTCAAGAGCAGAATACTTGCACAGTACGAAAAATGTTGTTGTGGCTGCAGCAGAGGCTGCAGAAGATGATGAGCTGGCTGTTTTCTTGAAGCAAGATGACATGGCAGCAAGTGAAGCTCGGCGGAAGGTGCTCTACATTAGAAGATTGGGGTTTTGCATTATTTAGGTTAATGTTTTAACACTACAAGGAAACTAGTTGTGCAGTATAGATCAATTATAACTTAGTTATCTTTTTTTGCAGATCAGAAGGGTCGATCCAACTTTAGACATGGAAGCTGATGAAGGGGATGATTACACACATCTTCCGGTACATTAGACCTATTTTCTGCAATCTTATTGCTTGGGCCTGTATGGACGATCGCTGCAAGTAGTGGGATTTGGTTTTCAGTAGTGGTGTATATATGTTCTTTGCAATAGAATGAGCATTTTTGAAAGGGTTGATTTTCATATTCAGGATAATATGTCTTCATTTCATTATACCTGGTAAAGTAGGGGTGATTGCATGAGTATTGAGCACATGTCACTTTTCCTTTTCCTTTCCCTAGTAAATACGAGATTCTACGGTTTCTGCTTTTGAAAGCAAATTACATTTTTCCCTTTGTGTTCATGTTATTGAATGTGCATACATATTTGGAAATGTGTGGACCTTATGTGGATTGCATAGAGGACTTTTCTCTTCTTTTTTTTTCAAATGTAACTTGCTAAATTTTAAACTTACAGGTTTTCATATGTGGATGCTGTTGTATAAAATGTAGGATCATGGGCTATCTTGCGACGGTAGCAAGGATGTGACTGACTCACCGTATGAGCTATACAGAAGGTCTCTTCTGCAAGAACTTAACCGGCATGCAGCGGTTGTTCTTGAAGGAAGAGCTATAGGTAAGGCTCTTCCTTAACTTTAGCTTCCTTAGGACAATGTTGCCTTAATCTCTGAAAAATCTGCTTGTAAAAGATTTTTTTTTTTTTTGGATTTTGTAAAAAAAAAATTATTTCAAGTTGTTTAGGAATCTGGAATCGTTTAGGGAATTGTTTTGAAGAACACTTCCCTTTGTTTGTCTTTTTGGGTGTCAAATAGTTCCATTGTTGAGATACCATGAAATAAGCAATACCACACTTATTAGCCCTTCATTAGAGAGACAAATGTTTCATGCGCCTATTTGAATTAAGTCACCACAATGACGCATACTTAGACAGGATTGGACAAGCATTTTGCTATTATCAAGACCTACCAAATTGTTGGGTTAGGTTTTATTGAGATGTCTTAGAATTTGCGAGTAGAGTCCCTTTGGGTGGTTTGGCCCTTTTGTGCTGCAAGGCATTGCTGATAGCATTGCCTGTTGGACTTGGACTTTACTTTTGGGCTATGAGTTGTAGTAAAGGCAATTTAGGATGCATTCTAGGAGGTGTTCACATTCTTGATGTGCTGCTTTTTCCCACCCACAGGTGCATATTTTGGGCTCCATTGTAATATCTTCATCAATCTTCAATGACACATTTCATTTTAGTTACCAAACAAATTAAAATGACTCATTTTTCTTGGATAATGGAATATTTTTAAGGTTTCTTTTGGATTCTTCTTTTTCTCTTGGAATTTAATTTCTCTAAAAATAGTTGATTAAATACAAATTTCTGGTTTGTCAATCTGACTGTAGATGTGGAGTTGGAGACACAAGGTCCGTAGCTGAAGCACTTGCCAGGTCTAAACAAGGTTAGCATAGTTCACTTTTCCTTCTGTAATGCATTTTAATGTAATTTTTTTCCCTTTATTTTATCCATATTCAAAATAAAAATTGGTCCACACTAACTGTATCGATTTTTGTATGCAGATGATTTAACTGATGAAGTGTCTGATGGGAATATTTAACCAGGAGCGCTTGGACAGGATATCTCGGATGGCAGGAGATCGATGATCTTCAGGCACCTCGTGACCTCGCTGTTGCACCACTTTGTATCAAGGTTTAACTTGTCATATCGTGAAATGCATTAATTTTGGTATCATAGAGGTATCCCATGTTTTGGTTTCTGAAGCAGGATCCTCGTGACTACTTTGATTCTCAACAAGCTAATGCGATAAAATCTCTGGGAGACACACTGGCTGGGGCTAAACAGATGAAATGTAGCCTGAGCACTGCTGAAGCATATGGTCTCTTAAGGGATTATATTTCTGAGATCAAAACCTCGGGTTGAATGATTCCATTGTTAAACCTGAAGTTGCACTTAAGGTAATAATGTTTTGTTGTAACTTTATTTACTGATTACCATTTCATGTTAAAGAGAGTATGCATGAATATTAATGTCAATGCAGGAGAAGGTAAACTGTTCAATATTGTGATATAGGTTCTCAATGGATTGACCCAGAGTATTTCAGCACCAAGTATCATCTTGGGAGCGAACCCGCATGAGAGTGTCTTAGATAGGTTGCCATACGTCGCTAAACAGGAATTGTTACATGTGAGTTGGCATTAATTAGTTTCACTGTATATTTCTATTTTGCAATTGATGGATATAAAAATTAGTAGCTTTGCATGTGAATGCAAAGAGACATTCATTTTACATTCTATTTTTGTTACAGTTCTCAATCCTCCATTTCTTTATTTTAATTAGAAACAACTTTCTGGTTTCCAGCATTGGATGTCTATTCAGGAGCTACTGAAGCATTTCTGGTCTTCATATCCTATTACAACTACACATCTTTTTACTAAGGTAATTTCCGCAATCTGTTTTGTTTGACTGGGTTGGTTAATGCTATCTAGCTTCAAATCGATAATTGATATTTAAAACTTTATTTTGGATGAAGACTGGTATTGGAATTGTATTAAAAAATGTTTGAACTGGAGGTACATGAGATTCAATTCATCAAACCCCCCCCCCCCCCCAAAAAAAAAAAAAAAACACATACATACAAGAAAAAAGAGACATGGTACTAAATTACTAATAGTATAAACACTAATA